TTACCTTTGTTACCGCAAATATTATTTCTGTTACGGATTTATTCACAACACAAAGCACTCCAGGTAACTTCTTGCTTTACTGGAAATCCTTTCAAAAAACGTCGTCTCTTGTTGTAAACACTAAGACATTGGAACTTAACTATTCTAAAGGGTTGATATTAGTTATCTGTTGATTTATGTTGACTGTTTGTCTCATAGGCATTATTGTATTCTCTATTTCTTATGTTTTAAATACAAGTATTTTCTGCACTAAAATGGTGTGCAACAAAAGCAAAAATGCGGTAAAGAATGTCCATTCAATACGGAGTTATTCCACAATCATCATAGATTAAAAGAAGTCAGCAGTCGTAATGGTGCAGTTGAGGAGGGAACTGCCTCCATTTGGTATTCCTGGTTGAAATCCACCTCTCTAATTGACCAAGCGACTAATCTCATGTTAACATGGGAATTCAGAACATAGAGTTAGAGCCTGTTTGGTTCAGCTTAAAAGCTGGTCAAACTGATTTAAAAGCAGATTTTTGACTTATTTAGCTGTTTGGCAATACTTAAAATAAGTTTAAAAAAATTTATTTTAAGCCAAAAGTTAAAAGCTGAGGTAGGGGTGCTTTTTTTCAGCTTATAAGCTGTTTTAAGTTGACCACATTTTTACATTTTTGCCTTTAATATTTTTATACAATCTCCAAATTACCCACATAACCCTAACATCTCTTTCTTCTATTTTTCCCTTTTCACGTGTTGATGATAGACAATTACTATTACTAATGAATGAAAATAAAATAAATCTTAAATCTTTCAAGTGATCTATTTAAATTATATATTATTAAAATATAAAATAAGTTGCACATATAACTTAAATAAAAATTTATATTCCTCTTATAAATAATTTGTGATAATAAAGAAATTTGTGAATGATAGGCAATTATTATTACCTATGGATAAAACTAAAATAAAATCTTAAATCGTTCTTTAATCTATTCAAATTATATATCTTTAAAATCTATAATAAGTTTATATTCCTCTTATAAATAATTTGTGAGGAGAAAGAAATATGTGAATGATAGCAAAATATAATTATTTATGGTTGTAAAATATAAATTAGTTAACTTTTATTATGTTAACAGCTTTTAAGGGTATTTCAGACATTTTGATTTAAAAAGCTGTTTATAAGCACTTATTTGCCAAACACATCAACAACTTTTTTTTTACTTCAGCACTTTTATCCAAACGCATAACTGCTTATTTTAAAAATAAGTTTCAGCACTTTCAAAAGTATTTTTTTAAAGCTACTTTTATTAAGCTCATCCAAACGGGCCCTTAATTTGTGTGTTCAGAATACGTATGATCTATTACTACTTGTATGCATTTTCCCGGTTATGTCTAAGACTCCAACTTGATTACATATTTATACTTGCAATCAAATCCATGAAATCTAAATTTTATGGAATTGTCGGATTGTACGGAAGGAAGGCAATGGATGAAAGTGTATTATTGTTAACAGGTCTTCATTTCATTATTTTTTGTAGGGAAAATGCACAAGTATCCCTCAACCTATGGGCAAAATCCCAGAGACACACTTATATTATACTAAGGTTCTATTACCCTCCTAATCTTATTTTATAAGTAATTTCTACCCCTTTTTATCTTACGTGGCACTAGTTTGAAAAAAAAGGCAATCATCGTTGGACCCACAAGATAGTGTCACGTACGCTAAAAAGGGATAAAAAATTATTAATAAAATAAGTTCAGAGAGTAATAGAACCTTAGTATAGTATAAGTATGTCTCTGAAATTTCGAGCATAAGTTAAGGGGAACTTGGGCATTATCACTTTTTTGTATCATCACATCTCAAGGCCTCCGTTTGTCGTAGAAAGACCCAAAATTAGTGTGACGGATCAAGCGTTTCTGTATGTGTGACAAATTCGGAAAATTAACTCACAAGCCTTTCATGGTGTGACTGCTATTCCTTGTAAAATTCGAGTCAGTCTCCATCAATACCTCCTTGAAACCACACTTTCTAAATTATTATTTTCTTTTCAAAGCATAGATAGCAGCAAAAAGTACCACTCTGTTCTGTTCTTGCAAATTGCAATCACTTCTAATCAAGCTGGCAGTGGCAGATAATTGGTTCACGAACCCATTGCTTCTCTTGTCGTTATCTTTGGTAGATCCCGAGTTTGAGGTGAAGTTGTCACTCATGACGCTCAATGATATAGACGTTGTTTCCATCCTTCTTGCTTTCTATATGATTTTGTTGTGGACCTAATTGATTGCTCATTTTTGTAAATTCATACGATATCCAGTCATCTTCACCTCAACAAACAAGTCCACTGTATGACGATCCACGTTAATTATTCACAACTTAGTACTTTAATATTTTTTTTCATGCATTAGTAGTTATTCAATGTTTCATTTTAATAATGTTTACTACTATTTTACCAATCAATTTCTACATGACTAGCTATACACGTGTTGAGAACTAGTATATATAAGTGGGACATAGGTCCAGTGTCGTGCCCACATCTTTGATTTTCTTCTAAAGGTTCCTCAGCATGGCTCAAGGTAAATTATCAGTAGCTACTTTATCGAATGTTTCGAGTGAACGGACATCTCAAAAGAAGAACTTAGTAAAGAAACATAACGAAAGCTTACTTCTTTCTCCGTGATCAGGTCCGATACGCGATTCAGCTTCATTTTCAATCTGTTACTGATCTTGTTGAGTGTTCCACTATTTTGTGGATAGTGTTACAAAATACCCTGTTGATGCAATCGTTGTTTGCAACTGAAACTCATGAGATTTGTTGTAATAAGTAAATTTAATATGCATCAAAGCAAAAGTTTGAGATAAATAAATAATTGGCATAATATATAAACAAGTTTTAACTTGGTCTCAATTAATATCTATGTCCTCTACTTTATGAGTATATAAGTAGATAAATAAATTTATATAAAATTGAACTAATAAGCACATTTGTCCATGTTTACGTTTTACATGATAATTTTGTGTCCAATGTAACGTCTTATTTGTATTATGTCTAGTAGAACACATACGTTTACTTATTTAATTTTATACAAGTCCATTTCCTCATTTTTGTACTTAGTGAAGGTTTAAAGCTGAATCATTCATATTTCAGCAGCCTAGTAAGTGTATTTGTTTTGGTGAAGATCTAACCACTTAGTACCTCTAAAAGCATCTGGTATAGTTCAGACTTGTTTACTGATCTTCATTTTCCTTAATGTTGAATTCTAATTATTACAAATTAGGTAATTTATCCATACTTCATGTGAACATAAATAATCTGATCAAGCTTTTGAATATTCTTTCTAGTATTCGATTATTATAAGAAAAAAGAGAGTAAATTTAGTAGGTTTAAAAACATTTCAACAAAAATTAAAGGCCTAATACATAAATGTGGCCTTTAACTTGGCTTCAAATCACATTTATGCCCGTTAACTTTGGATGTGCACAAATAGACGCTTAAACTTGTATAAAGTTGAACAAATAGACACATATGCCTTACATGTCATCCTGCATGTCATTTTTTGTTCTACGTGGTGTCCTACGTGTATTGAGTCATGTAGGACTCATGTGTTTATTTATTTAAAAGTTAGATAATTGAAGTGTCTGTTTTGTGCATTATAAAAGTTAGAGTTCAAAGTCAAAATTTGAAGCTAAGTTTAGGGTCTAATATATGTATTATGATTTAACATTATCACATCTCTCAAGAATTGTAAATATATAATGACTTGACTAAAAATATCTTGAAATTTTATCATTTTTATCTTTTACATGGTTGATCATATCATATGTTTGGTATATCAAACTCTTTTCCCATATTAATATTATTTTATAAAGAGAAACTATTTTAAATATGCATTACAAAATTTTAATGAAATATTTATTTCAATTAAAGTAAAATGTACATATTCATTAATTTAAAAATCATTCCACAAATTAAACCATTATATACGGAAAAATTCACCGCAAAAATAAGTAGACTCCTTCATATTTCTAACCCTACAAGAAACTATTGTTACCTTTATTTCTTACTAAGTAAAATAAAACGTAAAATGATATATATAATATAAGTATAATAGTATATCAACATAAATAAAAAAATTTGAATGAAACTTAACCAAACGAGATACGTTAATTAAATAATAAAGAATATATATTTATAAAAGAGATATTTTAGTCTTAAAAAAAAATTCTGCTTTTTTTTTTTCAGAAGCACAAACTTTTCAACAATAAAAAGAACTACTTCTATTTTCATTTAAAAACAATGTAAGAATTTATCAAAACACTTAATTTTTCAAAAGAAATATATTTTACCCTCCCAATAACAATATACTCTAAAAACAAGTTCTCTTTATAAACACACACCCAAGTAAAAAAGACATATATGTCCAAGCGCGTCAAGAGAGTGGCTACTATTTAAAAGTGTCTATTTACTTAAGATACGATGGAGGCTACTATTTAAAAGTGGCTATTTACTTAAGATACGATGGAGGCTACTATTTAAAAGTGGATATTTCCTTAAGATATGATGGAGGCTACTATTTAAAAGAGGGGACTTTTACTTGAGATATGATGGAGGCTACTATTTAAAAGAGGGGACTTTTACTTGAGATATGATGGAGGCTACTATTTAAAAGTGATGATTTTTACTTGAGATATGATGTGGCTACTATTTAAAAGTGATGATTTTTACTTGAGATATGATGGAGGCTACTATTTAAAAGTGATGATTTTTACTTAAGATATGATGTAGGCTACTATTTAAAAGTGGCTATTTACTTAAGATATGATGGAGGCTACTATTTAAATGTGTCTATTTCCTTAAGATATGATGGAGGCTACCATTTAAAAGAGGGGACTTTTACTTGAGATATGATGGAGGCTACTATTTAAAAGTGATGATTTTTACTTGAGATATGATGTAGGCTACTATTAAAAGTGGCTATTTACTTAATATATGTTGGAGGCTACTATTTAAGATATGATGGAGGCTAGTAGTAATCGATTCCCAATTGTAAATGGAAACGAACCCCAACAGCAAACGGCAGCACCTACCAAAATCAGAAACCCTAATGGAAGAAAGTGTTGATGGAGAAGACAGAATATCAGAATTGCCTGTGCATATCATTCATCACATCTTGTGCTACACCGACCTCAGCTCGCATGACGGGGCGATAACTAGTGTTTTATCGAAGAAATGGTACTATTATTGGCTCTCTAGACCTTGTTTGGTGTTCCGTCAATTTGATGGGGATCTGAAAGATTTTGTCCCGGTGGTTGATTGACCGCTACAAACCCATGTCGAACACAACTTAAATCTTACAAAATTCTTCATGTCATATTGGGATCGAGAATTGGATCCTTATTTGGATCGTTGGATTGAATCGGCTGTTAAAGTTGATGTTGAGTTTATTGTGATTCATGTTCCGGATATTGATTCGTCGCATTATAGCTTACCTGATGCTTTTTATAATGCGTAGAAGATGGATGCACTGTGGTTAAGCAATTGCAAGTTTGAATTTGATATTAGCACCACTTGTATAAGATTTTGTTGTCTGCGCGAGGTTTGTTTGCATAATGCTTATATTTCAGATGCTCAAATGCGAAGTGTTTTAGATAAATGCCCATCCATCAGGAGCTTAACTCTAATGTCTTGCAAAGGTATGAGCAAATTGTATGTTGTTGGACGGTTACATCTAGATTTTTTGAATATATCATCATGCAAACTCGATAGTGTGATTGTCCAAGCTCCGAAACTTGGGCGCTTTAAATATACAGAAGAACATACTGATCAGGGAAATCATCATCCTTGCGAAATTGCTATTTTGGAGGTTAACAATACTTTACACACACTAGAGCTCAATGGTGCCAGCATCACAGACCAACAGTTTCGAGATATGTATGACAAGTTCCCAAACATTTCAAGCTTGTATCTAACAAGCTGCAATAAGCTGAAATGTGTAGAGATTCAGAGTGCAAAACTCAAGAAAGTCAACATATTTAAGTTTGAGAGTATAGAAAGAATGACGATTGAAGCTCCAAATTTGTTGCAATTTAATTTTGAGGGTGAGAAAATGCCCATCTTATCTCTGGGACCTTCTCTTGAAAGTGTCCGACTCAATTTCTTCTTGCCAAGTACAGTAATATCAAACTTTGGAGATATGGATAGCAGTTGGTACACAAACCTTAATCACTTTGTTCAAAACTTCAACTATTCTGAAGGTTTGATGTTAATAGTATATTGCCAGGAGGTACTTTCCATTCTTTTTGTGCCATTGATTTATGCATTACTTGTTGAATTGGGTTTTAAACTACGTCATTGGCAAAATTCTTGCAGACCTATAACATCCTTTTTTATGAAAATACAAGCGAAATATTTATTCCACCAAGTCGTAATGTCGGGATATTCATTGTACCCATCCGGATCATTGAATTGCTCATGATATCGATATTGATCAACCGTCCCAGCATCATATCCATACTTCCATGTACAGATAGCAAAGCACTCCAGGTAATTTGTTGATTTACCTGAAAATCCTATCAAAAAAAATGTCTCTTGTGCTTGTAGACACTAATTCAGTAGAGCTTAAGCATTATTATGTTCTCTATATCTTATGTTTTTGTTTAAATATAGGTGTTTCCTGCATTAGAGCGGTGTATTCATAATCAGAATTGTGGTAACGAATGTCCATTAAGTACCACTTTTTTACACAAGTATCGTGTATTAGAAGAAGTCATCAGTTGTACTGGGACATCTGAGGAGGAAATGACCTCCATTTGGTATACCTGGTTGAAATCTACGCCTCTAATTGACAAAGTGAATAGTTTCATGTTCAAATGGAAAAAACAAGCTTAGACCGAAGAATCTTGGGGAATTCATCATACAGTGTTTATTAGTGTGTTCAGAATAAAGTTCAGTTAATCAACTGGTGGCTCTGTCAAATCCATGAAAGGTTCTTTAACCTTGCTCTAGCTCTAAATAAATTGTGCTCAAATATGTGGTTTACTTTCGTTTGTTGGATTTTTACGGGATGAAGTTCAACTGTTAACCAACAGCATAAGAGGTCTTCATTTCATTTTTTTGTTCCTGACTGCCTCTTCTTCACATTCCATTCGATTTCTCTCATGCTTAGACTACTTGGAGGTGATTAAAAAGAAGTGAGCACTTGAGGTATATATATGTAATGATGGATGCATATGCCTCCTACTTGTTCTGAAATCTGAAGTATAATATTTGAAGTGTAATATGTTTCTAATGTATAATTTTCTTTGTCATCTGATTTATCATTATCAAGATTTTCAATTATTAGCTTCCGTAGACACTTCAAAGATATATCAATGGGTGTGTGTTGATTTGCCAAAAGTGGTGTATTTTTGGAGAATTTGACACGGATCAACACCTCACATTCTTCTAAACACATCCTCCAATTACATATTGAATATCTTTGCTGTCAAAAGGGTGCAATACTCAAGTATCCCTTTGTGTAGACCATGTTGAAACTCCCATTACCAAGCAAGTTGCTTTTGTTGTATTTTTTTCTCTTTGACCTCTTGAGAGATTAGATTAAACATGGTGAAAGATGAAACTCAGAATCACCAAGAGTGCATATTCTAAGATCCGATTCAATGGTATATCCCTCTTCTATTTTTCTTAGACGGATCTCTCACTCTTGATGAAGAAAAAGACTTCAGTTTCATCTGCAAAAGGATCACCACTCCACCAGTGGGAAACTGTCCACTGAGTCTTTTAATGACTTCAGGATTTCACCACTGGGACTGTTATTACACTAATCAAAGATCCTTAATGAAGCTAGTGGAGTGTTTTTGGTTAAGAGTACTGTTGTAAATTTTAGTACTAAAAGTTATATTAGTGAAAGTCATTTCAAAATCTTTTTTATTCCATTTTCATTGCGTCAATGTCTTCTACTTGAAGTTTTAATAGACGATAGTAGGCATCCTTGATAGTAGGCATCCTTCGTGACAATTTATGTGTTACGTGTGTTATGTCACATAGGACTCATGCGTCAAAGCTTCTCTTGAATTTTCTTTTGTCAAATTTCAATGTACCAAAAAAAAAGAACAAGAAACAATTAATTCTCTTGGAAGTCAATAAAAGATTGAACTTTAATTTTTAGAAAGTAGGTATATGAATTGTTCATGGTTTCCATTATCACAAGACCTTAGACGATAGTAGGCATTCTTTATAACAATTCATGTGCTACATGTGTTATGTCACATAGGACTCATGTGTCGAAGCTTTTCTTGAATTTTCTTTTGTCAAATTTCAATGTACCAACATAAAAAAACAAGAAACAATTAATTCTCTTGGAAGTCAATAAAAGATTGAACTTTAATTTTTAGAAAGTAGGTATATGAATTGTTCATGGTTTCCATTATCACAACACCTTAGTGGAACAGCATTAACCAATAAGTGGGGAAAATATCTGATCTGTTTGGATGATGTTGAGAGGACATCCAAATAACCATCTTAGTTGAGCTATATAAACTCCTAGTTCCTCCATTCTATAAAACACACAAGAAAAAGAAAAATATAACCATCTTGCCTTAAAATACAAATCTTCTCAATGGGAATCCAAATGATGAAGCAATGCCCTCAATTTGGTTGTTGTGCTTTGGCATTTTTCTTGTTTGCCACATGCAATATGGCATATTCACCTTGTTCTTATGAATCAACGGATTCAACTTATAATAAAATACCAAGCACAGTAGCTAAAAGTGAAGACTACAAGCTACCCTTAGTGCCTAAAGAAGAATACAAGATACCTTCTTTGGCAAAGAATAACTACTACAAGAAGCCATTAATTCCAGGAGATAACTATAAGAAGATGTCTTCAGTCCCAAAGGTACCCTCAGTGCCTAAACAGGAATACAGGGTGTCTTTTTTACCAAAGAATGACTACTACAAGAAGCCATCAGTTCCAATGTATAACTACAAGAAGGTCCCATCTGTTCCACAGGTATCCTCAATGCCTAAACAGAAATATAAGGTGCCTTCTTTTCCAAAAAATAACTACTACAAAAAGCCATCAGTTTCAGACGATAACTATGAGAAGGTGTCATCCATTTCAAAAGATAATGACTACAAGGTACCCTCAATGCCTAAACAAGAATACAAGGTGTCTTCTTTGCCAAAGAATGACTACTACAAGAAGTCATCAGTACCAGAAAATAACTACAAAAAAGTGCCATCGGTTCCACAGATACCCTTGGTGCCTAAACAAGAATACAAGGTGCCTTCTTTGTCAAAGAATGACTACTACAAGAAACCATCAATTCCAGAAGATAACTACAAGAAGGTGTCAACTGCTCCAGAGGTACCCTCAGTTCCTAAACCAGAATACAAGGTGCCGTCTTTATCGAAAAATGACTACTTTAAGAAACCATTACCTTCTCCATCACCACCACCTCCATATTATTAAACTTTCATGTCAAGATTTTTCAAGGAAGTCCTCCAGCTCATCGTATATAACCCATTTGGTTCTCGTACTTTTAAGTTGGAAGGCATAATATCAAAATTTGTAATTTTTTTTTTATTTTTTTTCGTTTCTTTCCTACTTCGAGTTACAATTGTTTTATCATTTATATTCTATTTTCAATGTTTCCAGAGACTTATTTTAATTAAATATAAGTTCTTTTTATTGGAAGTTTACACATAGATTCACCAATTCTTCCTGCAATTGCCAATTATTGTCTTCTCATAAATTTAATAACAAAATAAAAAACATTAGTGAGGATTTTATACCCTATAGATATTAAAGAATTTAGTAGTTCTTTAGATCAAATTGAGGTCTGAACGAACCAATAAAATGATCTATAGCTATATATATAAATCTAAACAAAATTGGTAATTGAGAATCAAAGTGAGAAATATTCATATCTAACATAATGTATATGTGAAAGAGATAATTTAACTCCTCTCCATTACTTATTGTCTCCATTTTTCCAAGTACACACTTTTCAAACATATTTTTGTACAATGAGCTTTATACTCTCCATTCTAATCACTTCTTATATATTTTCACACTGATTTTCACCTTCGATATTACATTGTCTAGACATTTCTATTGCTTCATCCTTACCATTTAGCAAATAGACATAATCATTTCTAATGCAATTCTCAATAAAAGTAACAAATACTTTTTCCCACCATGAGATGGTGTTAACTTCATATCATAAATGTCAATGTAAATCAATTTTAAGGGATTAGAATTCCTTTCAACAGATTTATAAGAATGCTCAACATACTTAGATTCCACAGAAACTTGACATTTTTATTTATTGCACTCAAAGTTAGGCAAGACATCTAAGTTGATAAGTTTTTCTTACAAGGTTTTGTAATTGACATGCCCCAAGTGTTTATGTCACAAACATTGACTCAAGCAAGTAAGAACAAATAAAAACATTGAGTTTGAAAAGCTCTTCGCGAGGTAGCTTTTTTCTCACTAATATTTTGTTCCTATTTCTTACAATTTTGTGTGATACAAATATTGTTTAGATTGTCAAATATCCTTTTCAGAAGGACATTTTCATAACTTTCAATGTGATTGTTATAGAACTACCTATGAACAAAGTTTCATCGGGTTCAATAAAGACAATATAGTCCAACTGTTATTTTTACAAAAACATAACAAATGACTATTCACCAATATTCATGTCTATGCAAATACTTTTATTATAATAGACATATCTTTTCATGAAAAATCACAACATTTTAAGTGATTTTTTTTCATAAAAGAACACAATTATTTTGAACAAGTATATATATAATTTGGATGTTTCATACTAGTCACACTATATACTAGTAATAGAGAAACTGAACAACCACAATACCAAATATACTCCAAGAATTTTGTGGGTATAACATAATACAAAAGTATCATTGAATTTCATATCTTTGTTCCAAAGTTAAATTAGACACCAAGTCTAATCATAAGCAAATAACCCCCACATTTCAAATGTGATCTCAAAAATATTTTTCAAGTATTTGAAAATAGTTTTTTCACATATTTTAATGTTGGAAACATTATTCTACGAAAGAATTATAGTGCTGCAATTCTCTTTGACATTGTTTACACAATGTCAAAGTTCATTCCATAGAGACAAAAAATTACAAATTCTAAGTCACTGGTATTTTTTCTCTATCATAAATAGACATGTCACTTAGTATTTTAAATATTAACAATAAGGACAAAGCAAAATTGTACAATTTATTTCTATGTTACATTGAAGTTTATAGAAAATCAAAAGTACAACGCTGACTTATTATGTGAAGTTTTCATATTCTTCAAACCAATTGCAGATTCCAATTTATCCAGAGTATAAAACCACAAAAGTTTTTACTCTGCAAAAATCAGACACATTAACATTTCTCATGGAGTACAAAACTACAAAAAAAAAAAAATTCTCCAAACAGAATAACACATATTCTTTATCACATAGAAATGTTTTTATTATTACTTATATTAGATTCATGTTTAATTAAAAAAATTATGTAAATACTCCTGAATTACTTATGTAGTGTTGACATGATTTTTCAATATACCGAAGATGATTTTCACCAAAATGAAAGTCAACCTTTTATTATTTTACAAGCAATAGATTCTAAAAGATGTAACTATTTTAGATAAAATAATATGATAAGCATGACTTGAATTGTGTGTGTGTGTGTGTGTATATATATATATAATATGTTTTCTAATTTATTAAATTATTGGTTATCAATTTATTTAGAGTAACTAACTTTTTTCATTAATATTTTTTTTATGAACACTGTATAATTTAACTCCCTCCTAAAATTTAATTTAGAATTTACTACAGCCGCATAAACAAAAAGAAAATTTCCATTAAATTATTTTTCTTTCTTTACATGTTTCTAAAGATAACATACCAAATAGATTATACGAAATCAACTATATTTAAAATATTAAAAGCATAGATAGTGAACAACAAGTTGAAAAATATAAATTATTGGGTTCAATGATAATAATATTTGACTCAAAATATTTAAAAAAAAATTATTCAAAAATCTAATTAGGTCCGCGCGAAGCGCGAATATGTTAACTAGTTAAAAATTAAGCATCAAACTAATAAAATAAAAATGTACGTACTTATTCACTCTTTGTCCGCGTTCACATTGTCATAGTAACTAAAAATAAATAGTGGCATAATTTACTGTAGTACAATCATCACAATCGCATATTAAAAAAAAAAAATTTAAAAATTGAGAAAGTAAATTGACGAATTTAAAGAATCAACTTAACATGAACTAATGAATAAAGAGAGGAGAATATTGTGTAAATCAAATAACCATAATATTATGAGCAATAGTTTCGATATAGAGAAAAGACATAAAGTGATACCAAACATGAACTAATGAATAAAGAGAGGAGAATATTGTGTGTAAATCAAATAACCATAATATTATGAGCAATAGTTTCGATATAGAGAAAAGACATAAAGTGACACCTGAAGTTGTCTCGAATTTTCAAAAAGATACTTAAATTATGCAAGTGTCCTATTATCCCCTAAATAATCATGAACTGATATTATTACATCATTTTTCGTCCACCAGGCATGGAGAGTGTATGCACTCTCTTAAAGAGCGTGAAAAATTTTTAAAAAATGAATATAATTTTAATTTTACAAAAATTTTACTATAAAATATATATTTATATGTTTCTTATTATTTTAACTTTTTCTCCTTATTATTTTTTTTTCTTTATTCCTTCTTCTTCAAAAATTCATTGTCATCTTCATTAACTTATCACTTTCAATGTCACTATCACGACCCAAAACCGGGCCCAGACTGGCACCCACACTTACCCTCCTATGTGAGCGAACCAACTAGTCTAAACTCTAGCATTTCAATGTAATATCAACAGAAAATAATGCGGAAGACTTAAAATCATAATTAAAGACCAATTCAATAACTTCTAAAATTCAACATCTATTATTCCCCAAAATCTGGAAGTCATCATCACAAGAACATCTATGATCAAATTACTAAACTAAGAGTATTCTAGGAAGCTAAAACACGTAAAAGCTAGTCCATGCCGGAACTTCAAGGCATCAAGACATGAAGAAGAAGATCCAGTCCAAGCTAGAAGCATTAGCTCACCCTGAAATCCGGTGTAATTGAAGACTGGCTAGAATTGCGGTTGAGTTGAAGACGACGGCACGTTTGCTGCACTCCACAAATAACAAAGAAGAAAACATAAAAGTAGGGGGTCAGTACAAAACACGGGTACTGAGTAGATATCATCGACCAACTAAAAATAGAAAACAGTATACATCAAGTAATATCATAAATCAACTACAATACTCAACATATAGCAACAACAAGCACTATAATCATTACCAAGTACCGCCAAGTTCACACATGAGGACTCAAGCCTCAATACCATACTCATTTGGGAATTAGGTTCATTAGATTGAGTGTGTTAACATCTTTCAAGATTCATTATCTTTATTCCTCTTGTGTCGGCACGTGACACTCCGCTCCCCTACTACTATGTGTCGGAACGTGACACTCTGATCCCCTAATTCTACGTGTCGGTTCGTGACACCCGATCCCCTAATTCTACGTGTCGGTACGTGACACCCGATCCCCTAATTCTACGTGTCGGTTCGTGACACCCGATCCCCTAATTCTACGTGTCAGTTCGTGACACCCGATTCCCTAATTCTACATGTCGGTTCGTGACACCCGATCCCATAATCTCATTCTATTAATTCATCAAGCCTTCTTTTATACCAAGGCATCATCAATCTCATTACTTTAGTTCATCAAGCCTTCTTTTATACCAAGGCATCATCAATCTCATTACTTTAGTTCATCAAGCCTTCTTTTATGCCAAGGCATCATCATTAACAAGAGATTTTCAAGATTTGGGATTCAATAGCTTCATCATGCTTATTTTATCACAATTACATAACCACATTCATGCAAGCATACAATTAAGCATATAGAAGGTTTACAATACTACCAATACATATCATTCGTTATTAAGAGTTTACTACGAATAGTATAAAACCCATAACCTACCTCCACCAAAGATTAGAAATCAAGCAAGCAAGTT